CAGATTTCATCGTTACTAAATTTCAAAGGGACATCCCGCGCAGCGTGCTGATGGCCTCCCAACGCTGGATCCCGCCATTCTTGCTGCCGAGAGGGATCTCAAAACGAACTCTCCTCTGCTTCGCATCCCATAATGTCCGTCTACAGCAAGCCTCGCTACAAGCAACTCCCCTCCGCCTGAAATCCACAAGCTCCTCATCAAAGCCCACCAAGACCTCCTCCCCCCGTGTCCTCGAGAAGCCAGACCGTTTCCGGCCCCCGAGCCACCCAGCACGGCGCGTGATGAACCCGCGCAGTTCACAGCCCCGCAACTACCCAGGGCCCCGTCTCTCTGAAGCGGAGCTGGCAGAGAAGAAGACGAAGCGGTATCCGAACATGTTCCCCCCGGAGGGGACAGTGATGCATAAATTTCTGACAAACAGGGGTATTCACGTTTGGATCTCTATGGTGGGTGTCCTCTCCGCTTGTACCCCCCCCCCCCCCAAATCACACGCACACAAACACACCAAGCAAAGCACACTCAGAAACATGCAAACATGCACCTGTCCATGAAGAAGAACCATGACCCAAACTTACCTATACCCATACGTGCATAGTCCGTCCTCATCTCCCTCGCAACATTCACCTTCACCACAAACTTCAAACATACTTCTCCCTTCGCGCACCTGCTGCCGTCCTGGTCGCAGCTGCTCACCCACCCCATCGACACCGTCTCGCAGGCCATGGCGGTGCTGAAAATGCATGCGGATCATCAGACACTGGAGACGGCGGAGAAGCGGAAGAAGAGGACAGACGATGTAGAGAAGCGGAGGGCATATAGGAGGGCGCATGGGTTGGAGAAGGAGGAAGGGGAGGAAGTGGTGGAAAAGGGGGTTAGGGCTGCGGAAGGGGAGGGGGAGAGAGTTGCTGTTGTTGCTGCTGCTGACGGGCAGGTTGTGGTGGATGGAGCGGATGGAGAAGGAGAGGCGGTTCAAGGGAGGAGGAGGCCGATTAAGAAGTGGTTGGGTATATGGTAGGAGGGCTGGTTAGCGTCGTCAATACAGGGGATGATTGTTGCATAGATTGACTGGGCTTGATATATGTGTGTAGATAAATTTCACGTTTTTGTTTTTGGCCCAGTGTGGAGGCGAACTGTATATTATACCTTTATCTGGTGTCTGCGGCCTTTTCTTGTTTTTATTATACCATTACGTATATACATACATGATTGTGTCGTGGTATGGTAGTTGTGAATCTAGATCATTGGGATATGGTGTATGGCGTATATACGTGCGCCTCTGGATAATTCTAGCACTCCCAAAGCTCCTTCAAGTGGG